GGGTGTGGCTTACCTTGCATGCACAAGGCCCTGGATTTGATACCTAGCACTCGAAAACTTAAGAACCATGTGTTTTTCATTTCTGTTCCAATGATTTTATATAGTTTGGTTGCCAGGAGAAATGAAGATACTACAATTCAATAGTAAGTGAATTAAGAATTCTACATCTTACTATAAATTTAAGAATTAATATTAATACTCTTTAATTCTGGGCAACTTTAAAATACCATTTTCTGTCTTTTATTGAGCCTTGCTAAATTCTAAATGTAAGGAATCACAATTTGGGTACTATGGTTCACATCTGTAAAGTCAATGTAGATGCCCAGGCATAATGACACAAAAATGCAAATGGAGAAGAGAAAAGAGGGAGGGGGGAGGGGGAAGCGGGGGAGGGAGAGGGAAAGACTTCCAAAGAGGCAGGCAGAGTTAGAGAATGGCAAAATAGGGCAAGTAAGTTCAGAAAGAAAAAGAAAAGAAACCAGACAAACTGAGGCCAGAGGTAGAGTCAGAGAAGAAAAAAGGGGAAAAAAGCCAGATAAGAGAGTGGAACTGATAGGCACGCACAGTGACAAGGACATGGGATTAGATCAAAAAGAGCCAGCAGAAGAACAGATCTCATTATTTCTATGATTTTTTTTTCAAGTTATATACTTTAGTTGTTCCTTCAGTATTCCTACAAAGAACAGTCTTAATTTTATAAAATGGTTAACTGCATATTTCTCTTACAGGGCCTTTAAAAAAATCAAATTAATCTAGACTACAATTTTTGGCATCACTAAAGGTCACCAGTGTATTGGATTTAAAAACTCAATTTGCATATCAGCAGTTATTTTTCAAAGTAAAGAATGGTAATATACCAGATTAAATCAAATTCAACCTACAGCAAAGATCTTGTAGGCATTTATAATTATGTGTCATAGTATGTAATCATGTAACATATAACACCAATACCAGATTAAAAACATATTATTAATTGCAAATAACTTACCATTTAAAGTCAAACTCCAGTAATTTTCAGTCTTTTTCTACTTCTTTGTCTCCCTTGCTTCACTTGGTATTGTCATGTCAGTAGCCATCAATCTGAAGAATTCCTTCCTCTGCTGCCACCTACCAGTTTATTTCTCTGCTGCAGCAGAAGGGTATATAGAAAAAGTTCTTGCTTACTGCTTAGATTTAATAGAAAAAATTTCATATTTTCACATGTGCACCAAGTTTTCCATGTCTGCTCCAGATATACCCCCCCAAGAATATCAGAAACAAAAATCTCTATTGCAGGAAAAAAAAAATCAAACAATGTATGTATGATCATTGCTCATGCTAAACTAGGAAAATTTAAAAAAGAAAGGAAGTGGAAAGATTTAGACACCGAGCAGCTGCCACCTCAAGGAACCATCCCTGTTCTGTCACAGCTTCCTTCTTTACCTACCCCTACTATCTATCAACATGTACATAATCCACAATTCTGTCTAGGGAGTTTACAACTCCTGCAAAATTCAAGTTCAGAGATTACAAAGAAATTCTGTGAAAAATGCATCATTATAAAAGAAATTTTTAAAGTAATTCTAGAAACTAGGGGTGTTAGGTGCTTTACCTGTTTGAGTTTTCAATGTTCGGGACTGCTTATTGCCCAATGGCTCTGAATACATTAAAACTCGAACACATACACCACCTATATTTAAAATAGGGTAGCATTTGTATGCCCATATAAGCACTAGGTTTTGCTTTTGTTTTTTTGCAAGAGAATAAATTCATTAAGTCCTTTAAAAAGGGCTAACCTTTAAAGCATATTTCCTCAGACTGTATATACATACATAGAAAAATCAGGGGGAAAAAACAGAGACAGAATGACAAAATTACAGCAGTTGTAGAACTGGGCATTAGCACAGCATAAATGTTCTCTGCTTGTTAAAATCTAAGATTCATTTAGTCCCATTGCTTTTTTTTCTTTCTTTCTGGTACTGGGGATCGAACTCGGGTCCTTGAGCTTGTGAGGCAGGCGGCGGAACCACTGAGCTAAATCCCCGGCCCGGCCCCATTCTTTGTCATTGGATTCCACATCAAATTTATTGTACATTAGCTAGTAAGGAACAGTATCTAGTAATGAGCTAACGAGAACAGTAGTGACTTGTTTTTCCACCCTCCCACTACCTTTACCCCAAAATAAATTTTTGTATAACTTTGCCAACTTATTTTTTAAAATAGCAAGAAAAAAAACTGTGATAAATACCAAAAGTTAGTCAACAGTGGCACTGCAATATCATTTCTACTTTCTCATTTCTTCCCCATCTCAAACCCCGCCCTTTTGACCTCAGTATATGGGATGAGCCTGAGCAGGAGAAGTTGGTGATGTCAGGACTGCGCCGTTCCCACGGATGCTCCTACAGGCCTGCTGTGCTTCTGGGAACTGGGGCACAGGGAAGTCTGTCTGACTGAAACCCAAAACAACAACAGTTCACCCCACCCCTCATGTTCCCAAACCCCACAGTAGCAGCCAAGTATATATACTACATAAATAAGGTCCACCTAGTAAATGTGAAGAAGATGGTAAAATGTGAGATGATTCTTTACAAACCAGCAGTACTCAGTGTGGGAAACAGAATGGAAGCCATTAAAACTCCCCATGCCCTGTGTGGTCACACAGTCTACATATTCTAATAGTGGCCATTCTTATTAAAAGAGAAGAAAGGTCTCCTGAGTGAGCGTGAATATACATCATCAATTCTTGCAGCAGTATAGATGGGACCCTTTTATTAGTATATTTCAGTTCAACAGATAATTACTTCTGACTAAAGGTGTTTAGTAGACCGTCCCTATCTTATGAGTCTAGTGAAGCACAGAACAGGCCAGTGACCTATATTACATGCTCTCCTTTACTGTAAAAAGAGCATCAATGGCCAGGATTTCCTAGTTACTAGTAATCTAGTGACTTTGAGCCACTTTGGATAGGACATTTAAAGTCACAAAATAAAATTATGCAGGAGCACATGTTGGAAAAGGTCCTGGCTACTTCCATTGAAATCTTATCTCCTAGAAAGAGGATTATTGCCCAAAATAATGTAGGAATTTTAACTGATGGCTGAGGACAGCAGAAAGGAGAAAAAGGTAGGTGGACTAGAAAGGACAACCTTCCAGTTTTACTAACAGGAAGGCTATCAAAATGAACAAGCTATATTCCTGTTCCTGCCACTAATAGCATGATCTTAGTTTAGTCTGTTTAACCATGCTGTGCTTCAGAAATACTTCCCTGCTTCAAACTGTAATTTGTGAGTGTTTAAGTCATGATTTTACAATAACCTCAAATTGCTCACATTTATTTCTTTGACATGGTGTCTCAGAAATGCTAAAATGACTGGTTCTGATGTATTGCTAATATGAAAGAAAATTCTATTAATCCATTTTTCACCATTCTCTTTCACTTTTATAATGATGTCACAAAAAAGCACTAAAGTTAACTTAATACTATGGTGAGTTCTTACCATAAATATAACCTAGAACCTAATTTTACCTTTTCAAAACTCTAGTTTTCCATACCTGTCAACTCCTAATTGATGTCTTTATACTGTGAGCTCACTGTGTATTCGGAACACCAATCCCTGAAAAAGCTTAAGCCAGAGTAGCACAATCGAAGAAACAAACAAACCCAATACAAAAACAAAGCCAAAAAAGCCACACTCCGAAATACTTATAGACATATATGCAAGGAATGGAGTTATCTAAATGCCTAAACAAAATCCCCATCCTGAGTTCATCCCAATCAACTTAAACTTTATTCCCAAAGGCTCTTCTTCAATCATAGTATTTGGTGGATATATTTATGCTTTTTTTCTTTTAAAGTGAGAGTTAAGACAAACTCTGGTTGCCTTTAAAATCCACGAAGGGAAATGTTTCTACAAAAGAAAGTAAAGTTAGCCTTGTGGCGGAAAGAAAGGAGAAAGAGTCAAATTACCTGCCAGCCGGCTCAGGCTGTGACTGAATCCAAACCGCTGCATTTAGCATTCATTACACAGCTGCATTATTGGGGGAAGGGGAGTTTAGAAGGGCACTGACCCCGAAAGTTCTCAATACTTCTCACTCATCATCAGGAAGGGGGAAGAAGGAAAGTTTTTTCTCTGGGTATATTTTTGTTTGTTTGTATTTGTTTTTTTTGGCTCCTGAAAAGGCTGGCAAAGAACAGTAACAGTGCAGTTAGAATATTTCTTTAAAAATAATTTTTAAAATGTAAAACATTTAAGGAATTTTAAAAGCCAAACTTTCATTAATATAGAAAAAACTTTCACTAGAGTTAGGCAGCCACCCCAAAACAGCATGGCAAAATAGTACTGTTATAAAGGAAATAAAATAGCACACAAAAATCCAAAACAAAACTAAAAACATTTCAAATTAAACTTGAAAGACTAGAAGATTCCAACAGCAAATTCTGTCCACTATTGAAACATTACCAAATCCAAGCTTCAAAGGTGCCTAAGTTGTATGTTAAATGAAACTTTTTTTAAGAAAGAAAAAAGAAAGCAGTGAACCTGGTTATAAATCCTGCAATATATTACATTTTTTAAAGTCCTAGTACAATAAAACAAAATTTAAATAAAATTAAACAAACAAACAAATGAAAACAGTAGCAGCAGAGGTTACCTGTCTGAGCACCTACATTTTCTTAGGAGGGGATCGTGTCTCACCAGCCAAATAGCCCATTAACCTTCTCAAAAAAAGCGAGCCAGGAGAAAAATATAACACAAGATTTGATTTCACAATGTCACTAAGCTCCCCCAAGCCCAAATTGGGGATGCACTGAATGAACAGAATTTTCCCATTGCTTTCTTCTTGAGAAAAAGAAGAGAAGATTTTGAAAGTCAATGACTTTTTTTTTCAATGCCTTCGATACCTTTGCTCACAGTCTGGTAAAGTGCTTGATGAAAGCAAGTTTCTTGTCGGCTTTTTCTAATGTTCCAGGGTACTTTTCTTATTGACAGCATATACAGAAAGATTTCAGAGTTCACTGGAGAAAAGCCAGCAGAAATAACCAATGATAGGCACCAAAAAAGAAAAAAGACTATTAAAAAAATTTTAAATGGAATAGTTCAAATGTATAGATATCAAAGTCCAGTTTTCATCATGGGTGACATAAAAACAACATCAGAAAGATTTAAAAAATACAATTTAGAATTACAATTTTTCAGAATTACAATTTTAACAATGTACAAAAATTTTACAGCATTCAGATTTTGGCATGATGATTATACACATTTGATAAATACATTGTTTCTCTCAAAAAGTAATCATTATACAAAAGTTATTAAACAATTACGAAAATTCAACTACCACTTAAATATTGAACGCTGTTTCTTTGAAGTGCGTTGAGTGATCTGTTCTTATTCTTTAATTTTAGAAGGAACTCAAGAAGATACCCATGTTTTGAAAGTCTCAAATGACCATTCCTGCCTTTTCACTCTAACGTGTTACTGTGAAATCCGCAAATAGGTTGGTTAAGCTACGTTTTAATATAATGTGAATGTACAGAAGATGGATAAACTGAATAAAACTGTAAGTAAAATAATTTCAAATATTTCTTCTAATATATAGTTGCCTAATTCGAGAAAAGTTAAAAAGCAGCTGACTACATTTCTCTTGGTCCTGTATCACACCGACACAAAATTAGTTTTTCATTAAATAAAAAGTTTCTATTTATTTTTAAATGCACTAACCTATATATATGTAAAATATAACTGTTTAAATAAAATGTATCCTTATATGTGACAATCAGATGGTCTCTACAAGAACATAGGAATGATGTCTTGATTAAGCAATTCTTTGTTTATTTCCTCTAAACCAAATAGTATGCACCCTCCAAAATATGGTCATTAGGCAAAAGTACCAAATATTGTTCTTCTGTTAATAATGCATCAGAGGCGCTTGTGTGAGGCCCCCACAGCTTTGTGCAAATTGTTTTAGATGCAGTTAGAATCTCCTGATGATTAGCGAATCCTCATGTATCTTTCTCTGAGGTGAATGAGACAGTGCACAGAGTAGAGGTGCTAGTCTATTTGCCAATAATATTACTTAATTCTACAGATAAAAACAACTTTTATTACATTCCTTTTTTAAATGAGGGGAAAACTGTACAAGTAAGCATGATAAAACCTCTGTTAGAGCTGGTTAATACTGATCTTTTATTATTGCCTCGAAGTCTCTCTACATAGCAGTGTCCAAGAAATTATGTTAAGGTCCATCTGAAGGAAAATATCACTGGAGAGGCAAGAAAGGGCTTGGGTAAAAGCTTCAGAGGATTTGTAGGGAGACAGAACTTGCTGTTTAAAAAATTAAGTTGAGCTCTGTAGCATCTCCATTTCTTAACGTACCCTCCAAACCCATCATTGGGATAGTTATTGTCCATATTTTAAAGGCTCATATGCAGTTTGGGGCTTGTATAAATCCAGAAAATAAAGGGAGTATAAAGAGTGGTCAGTATTGAAGGTGTAAAAGTAGGGCTGTATGAGACTCAATACTGCTAAATTCCCAAACCAAAAACAAGGCCACCACCCCCAAAATCCTGTGCAAAAAGAGAATGCATAGCCATAAGCACTGAAGGAAAGCATATGGCCTTGAATAAATCATACATGGAACAGTTGAAAAACAAAAAAATCGAACAACATACATATACACAAAGAAACATCTATTCTCCTACGTCTTCAGGTCAGTAAGTATTCCTACCCCAGGGAAGTGTAAGTCATGAAAACAACTCATCGGTTTTTTTAAAATAAAAAAAACTTTCCTGTCATGCTCTATTCTCTAGAATCTCGTTTTGTTTGGCTAGTATAAACAAAAAGCAAACCACATACACATGCATGCGTGCACACACACACACACACACACACACACACTCCCTTGTAAGATGTGAAAAATGCAAATACATAATGCTGGCATCAGAAACAACTTCAATTTTGTACTTCAGAACTTATAGGCCCTTGGCCTGCCCCCTAAAAATATTTTTCCTTGTCCTTATTATTTTTTTTTTTAATACCGGGGATTGAACTTGGGACCTTGCGCTCCTTGTCCTTATTCTTTAAATGTCCAACCACCGAAAGAAAAAAGAAAAGGCTTTAAATGTACATGTTTCAAGTCAGTGTCTTGTTGACAAAAAGGTCTCATTTTTCTCACTTTGGCCATTGTTAAAGATGCAGGCATAGAGCAGGGGAAGTTAGACTAGCATGAATTAAAAAAAAAAGCAACATTAACAGAGCATATATCTTTCAAAAAAGACTAAAGCACTAACACACACAAGTCAATGCACATATTTTAAACTAGAGTAACTTTATCTACATTGAGTAAATGTTATTTTGTATACCAGACATTGCAATACTGTTCATTTCCTTTCATCATGCAAACATGCCAATTGTCATTAAAAAGCCTTTATTGGGTTATATTCACTCTTCCCTCCCACCCAAATTAAGAGAAAAAACAAAGACAAAACACAAAGTTGAGAAATCCCAACCAAGAAGAGCCCTTTGAGATTTCCTAAACTATGAACTACTAGCTAACAGTGAAATGTCAGAATTTTCAGATGTCTAGAAAAATTTCTGTAACTTAGGTAGACATTTTCCCCACTTTTTATAGATCTCACAATACAATGTAAGGTTATGCCATCAGGTATCTGTACCTTAACATTTTTTCATATAAAAACAAAAGCAAGTGAACATGAAGAAAATGTTCACGTTCCTCATGGCATGGCCCAAGAGCATACAAATTTTGTAGTATTTCAGTTAATATGACAGCCTGACTATTTTATCACTGCTTCTACATCTCTGTAGCCTCCATAATGAAAGTCAGTACGTTACTAGCAGAATAACATTTATTCTCCCTTTTTCTAAGTCTACCAATTTTTCTCTCATCCTCCTAAGCATCTTCCATGAACAGCATTGCAAGCTGGTTAAAAAAGGAAAAAAAAAGAACTGAAAAGAAAATTTTACAAGGGTTTTGTTGGTTAATTACTGACTGGCGGAGTCACTCCACCAGGAGTTTGATCTCATTGGCTAGCAGCTGGTTCATGTTGAACAGGCCCCCTGGGAGCTTGGTGAGCAGCTCTCGCTCCGTGCTTTCAGGGTCGCTGTCGACAGAGCTGGAACTTGCGCTCATGTTGTCGACAGCAGTGCTGGCGGGGGGACCCAGCTCCGGCTCACTAGTCTCACTGGCCGTGGACACCACGGAGAGCAGGGACATACGCCGGGTGAGCCGGCCAGAGGGCAGAAGGGAGGCGGCATAGTCCGCTATGATACCAGCTACGTCTAGATTACAAGCCTTATCAAAGGCTATGAAACCTACATTTGCATTGGCCTCGCAGACACAGAAGGAGCCGTCATCTTTCATCAACAGGTCAATGCCACACACATCCATTCCCAGGATATTGGACACCTGGATAGCTAGCTGCTTCCCTTGTTCACTTAGTGAGCACATCACCCCCACACCACCTGGCAAAAGAAAAACAAACATGAGAAACTTCAGAGCAAAATTAAAATTGACCTTCTATGCTAACCCTCACTTAAAAGTCAACAGTGAAAAAAATTTGCTATTTATTCAAGCTTAAAATTGTGACTTTGACATGTAGACTCCCTTCTTTCCAGATTGTTTTTGTTTTTTCCTCTATTAGGGACTGTATCCCTACATGGTCTCTCAAAGAATCAATAATCTAGGATTTTGTCTTCTTTTTTCATGGGACTGGGGATTGAACCCAGAGCTTTCCCTACTAAGTTACATCCCCAGCCCATTTATCATTAAAGACATTCCTTGTTTAACAACCAAGTTCTGTCCCCATGACTAGGTCATTAAAATGGTCACTAAATGAGGAATTGTATATATTGCATACATTACAATATTCAGAACAAAGAAATGGTCTCCAACTTGACTTTGCTTTTGTTTGCCTAATTCCTACATGCAGTACTGTAATGTATAATAGTGTACATGTGCAGTACAATCAGTAAAAATGAGAGCATTGTATAAACAAGGTGTACTGTACAAAAAAGAGACTGAGACTCTATAAACAAGATGTACAGAACAGCATGAAAAAGACAGGTTGTTAAGTTCAGAAAGCAGGTTGTAGGTGCGCCTCAGTCCAAAGCCTGAAGAGTCAGTAAACAGGTAAGTTGTTATGATCATTATTAATACTGAGGCAGGATCTTGCTAAGTCATTAAATTGACAAGGCTTGCAATTCTCCTACCTCAACCTCCTAGTACTGGCATTCCAGGCTGCATCACAATGTCCAACTTTTTTTTTTTTAAGGAAGACTACTGAACTTTCCCTGAAGCTCATCTTATAATAATATGGACCAAATAGTGCTGCCCCTCATCCCTTGGCATCTATCTACAAATGAGCAGGTTCCAGGACTCACACAAGCATCAGAATCTGCAAATGCTGAAGCCCCTTATATAAAATGGTGGAGCAGTATTTGCATATTAGCTGCACACATCCTCCTCTATATTTTTCTTTCTTTTGAGATAGGGTCTCATGCTGGGCATGGTGGTGCACGCCTGTAATTCCAGCACTTGGGAGGAAGAGGCATGAGGATTGCTGTGAGTTCAAGACCAGCCTGGGCTACAGAGTGAGTTCCAGGTTAGTCTCAACTACATAGTGAGACCCTGTCTCAAAAAAAAAAGGAGACAGGGTCTATGTATTTCAGGCTGGCCTAGAACTCACAGTGATCCTCCTGCCTCAGTCTTCCGAGTGCTGTCATTACAGTCGTGTGCCACCACACCTGGCCTTCCTATATACTTCAGATCATCTCTAGATTACTTATAATATCTAATACAATGTAAACACTATGTTAAAAGCAGTTATATTGTTTAGGAATGGTAACAAGAAAAAAAAGGTCTGTGAATGTTTGGTACAGAGGTGAGACAATTACCACTATAGGACTGACTACACAGTACACAGGAGACTGCTGGAGAACAAGGCTCAGATAGTGTGTGTTGGAAAGAGAATGAAGTGCTGTGAGGCAGTGGAGGCTACAACAGGTATGCCAACACGTCATCGGGTTCACACAGATTCAGAACAGATTTGGACATTTAACTACAACAATCTTCAAGGTAGCTGAATTGAAGCTGGACTCTTACCATATGTTATGGTTTGGGTCTAGATGTCCCCCCAAAGCGTCATGGGGTCAAAGGTTGCTGAATGTAGAGTGTGTGATACTAGGATTAAGGGTGTGTAATCACTAAACTAAATGATGACTGGTTTGGCACCACCCTAATTCTGGATGGAATGAAAGGGGCAGAAAAACCCTGTTAAGGTTCCTTGTTACATTTGCCACCTTGTGCACACCATGTTGTTTCTCCTCTGAGATGCCCGTTTGCCATGCCTGCCTTGGAGCTGGCCAACTATGGACTGAAACCTCAACAAACTTTGCAAAAAAACCCTTTCCCCTTTAACTGCGGTGTCGGATATTTCATCTCAGCAATGAGAGAAAAGTAACTAAGACACCATGTGAAAACTTTATCTCAGCCAGGATACTGCTCTCACCTCACAGAAAGAGTAGCTGTTCACATTCCTACCAGGGAGAATTAAAGAGACATCAACATACTAATATATGACTAAGCACAAAGATAAAGACATAGGAAGATGAAGAGGGGGAGTAAACAACGGTGAAAATGAATTTTACAATCTAGGTAATTTTATATGCATGACAAAAGGACTATCTGGAAATGGATGATGTGAAATTAAAATAGAAAGAGATACAGTAAGAGATTCAAATCTAGATACAAACCAAAACTATTAAATGGTTTCAGCAAAACTCTGGATTATAGGGCTGGTGCTGTGGCACACACCTGTAATCCTAGCTATTCTGAAGGCTGAAATTAAAGGATCCCAACTTGAGGCCAGTCTGTCATAAAATAAAGAATTCTGGAGACGTAGCTCAGTGAAAGAATGCTTACATACCACGTGTAAGGCTCTGGGATCAATCCCCAGTACACACAGAAAAAAACCAGTGGATTATAAAGCCTATGAGAGCAGAAATTTGTTTTGTTCATAGTTACATAGAAACTACTGCTATAACAGGTACTTAGCCCATAGAATGTGCTCAAAACTACTTGTTCTGTGAATTAATCAACAGAAGTGGGGTAAAGTAAAGCTGTTCTGATCTTCTTGCTGAAGGTAGAGGAAGGACAGGATGATGCATGGGCATGTGCCACCATACCCAGCTTTGTTGTATTTGTTACTATAACATTTTATTGTCACTATAATGTTATTATACGTTACTATAATGTTACTGTGTTACTGTGACATTATAATGTTATAATTGTAACTTGTTTTAGGGAAAAAAAAAACAGCCATAAGTTGGACAAGCCTGTATAAATTAAGGCCAGAGCAGAAATCTTCAAGATTGGAGAACTGATAAATGTGAACAAACACTGCTATCACCAGGGTGTGAAAAAGCTGATGAGATTAGGACCATATGTAGGTTAACATCTCCATGAAAGCAGAAATTAGGAATCTAAGCAGCTCTGGTGCTGTACATCACAGCCATGAAGAACAGCCAGCCCATCTGGTCCACTATGGTGACTGACAGAGCACTGGGCAATAGTGAACACAGGAGTCCCAGGAATACTCTTGCTTCTGTCCACTGGCACTCACGCACCAGGCATTTTTGTCCTTCTTTAGCTTTGGCTGAGTTGGTTTACAGGTTTGCCTTTCTCTTCTAGTAGGGATCAGTTCAGCCAGTTCCACTGGGTCAGCTTCCTTTACTCACAGGAGCCCCACTGCCCTGTGCCATCCACAGATCCTTTGTGAGAAGACATGAGACTGGTACCCTAATACCTCCCTTGTTCAACTGAGGGAAAGGTTGGGGACTCTAAGCCCCAAAGGGCATAGATCTCCCTGCAATGGTAGACAAGGGACTGCTAGGAGCCAGGGAACATGGCTGCCCACCTGCACCAAGTCTGTTGCTCTGCAGGGTGCTTCAGAGACTACACACAATAGAAGGGCAGGAGATGTGTGCAACCCTATCTGAAAAGAAATTGAGAGCCCTTGCCAGGGGCTCACTGGAGCTGGGAAATTGAGGGTCCCGAGGCAGGGTGTCCCCTCGCTGTCAAATCCTCAGGCCTGGACTCGGCCTACCTAGGTCCAGGCACTGGGGCCCAACTCCACCCCACCTCACCCCAGCCCAGCCCAGGCCCCAAAAAAGCTACACCCCAGCCAGCAGACTCTACTGGGGTCCCAAGCATACATGCTACATTCTAAGGCACTAATGGTTAAGCCAGCTTCATTCCAATGTTACTTTGCCCATATAGAATGTACTTGAAAGACTAAAAGTTCAATACATCAAATCAAAACATTAAATAAGGGCTAGGGATTTAGTTTAGCAGCACAGCGCCTGCCTGTCAAGCGTGAGGTCATGAGTTTGATCACTGGCACCATAAATAATAAATAAAGCAAGCAAGCAAACAAGGCAGCATAACGTTACCACCAAATTTGATAAGTTTTAAAAATAACATTATGGGGCCAGGGATTTAGCTCAGTGGTTCGGTGGCCTGTCTTGCAAGCGCAAGGACCCAAGTTCAATCCCTGGTACCAAAATAAATAAATAAAATAAAAATAACATTATGGGGCCAGGGATTTAGCTCAGTGGTTCGGTGGCCTGTCTTGCAAGCGCAAGGACCCAAGTTCAATCCCTGGTACCAAAATAAATAAATAAAATAAAAATAACATTATGGGGCCAGGGATTTAGCTCAGTGGTTCGGTGGCCTGTCTTGCAAGCGCAAGGACCCAAGTTCAATCCCTGGTACCAAAATAAATAAATAAAATAAAAATAACATTATGATGAGTCAGGTGTGGTGGCACACGCCAGTAATACCAGCTCCTGGGAGGCTGAGGCAGGAGGATCACTGTGAGACCAGCCTGGGCTACATAGTGACTTCCAGGTCAGTCTCAACTACACAGTGAGACTTGTCTCAAAAAAACAAAAAAGTTAAAAAATAATAATAAAAACAAACAAACAATATTATGGATGGGGATGTAGCACAGTGGCCTACCTCACAAGTTCAAGGTCCTAAGTTAGATCCTGGTACCCACCCCCCAAAAAAAAGAAAAGAAAAAAAATAACATTATGGACCCATCTTACTTATGTAAACAGATATTATTGTTTTGAACAAAATAATTAAGAATTGAAACAAGAGAAGAAGTATTAGTGGTAAAAATGGTCAGATTTGGATTTTTGGGGGGGTACCAGGGATTGAACTCACAACCTTACGCTTGTGAGGCAGGCATGGCACCACTGAGCTAAATCCCCGGCCCAATATTATTTTCTTCTTTTTCCCTCCAGGTAAGGGAAATCAACTCAGGACCTTCTGCTTACCAGACAGATGCAACACCACTTAGCTACATTCCCCAGTCCCTTTGAATACATTTTTGAAAGAGCAGAAATTTCAAGGTATTCCAAACAGTTTGGGGTATAAGGATCAGCATGACTACACATTCTGATTTAACCTGTAAAACTAGAGCTGTCATTAAAATGACAGAAGAAGAATACCATGGGATGAATACATTGTACACAGAGGGAGTTAGGATTGGTGGCCATTTATGGAGACACATATTGAACTAGGAGTTCAGGGAAAAAGCTAAATTGGAGACAGTAATTTGAAAATAATAAGTACACAAATCGTACTTAGGAGGCATGTGCTGGATAGGCCTACTAAGAAAGAGGCAGGCACGGTGGCTATAATCCCAGCACTTAGGAGGCTGAGGCAGGAGGATCACTGCAAGTTCAAGACCAGCTTGGGTTACACAGGGAGTTGAAGGCCAGCCTCAGACTTGGGGTGGGGGCCTACTAAAAAGGGAATACAAATAGAGAAGAGGAAAACCCCCAAAACTAGGTCTAATGCATTCCAATAATATATCTCAGAAAAATACTTTTAAATGAACTTCACTTATACACTAAATAAGTGTATCACCAAAAAGAGGTGATATACTGGTCAAATATCTCATGCATAGAAGAATTTGCTTAAAATTGAATCTAGTGAATCAATGAGTCAGTGAAATCTAGTAACAGCCAGAACACAATAGGATATTAAACTGATGGTATGTTTACAAACTGTATTCACATGTGAAAAATAAGCTTTTCAACTCTGTTAAGTAAAAAGATCTAGTTATATATAAATTTTCACTAACAAGCTATAGTATTTATTGCTTTATATGCTAGAAAGACACCTGCATTATTCTTACCTAGTGAGCAGTTGCTCTGCATCCTCCCATCTGTGGAACAACGTAGCATAGTGCCGACAACACGGCCTCCCACAACAATGACACGCACATCCCGTCCGTGAGACTCCTTCACATACTTCTGAAACAGGTATGGAGCTTCATGGCGAATAAGATGGCTTAGATCAGCCAAATGGTGCTTGTCTCGTGCCAAGAAAACAGCTTTGCCTATGATTAAAAAAAACACATAAAATATACAGAATACATGAAAGTCATCAAACTGGGAAACTGATAACTATTACCTGAACATTCTTATGATCCAATCTGCTCTTTAAAGTTTTCTTGTACTGTTTTATTTATTGTTGCTTTTTTTCTTTTGGTACTGGGAATTGAACTTGGGCCCTTGCGCTTGGGGCAAGCAGAATCGCTGAGCCAAATCCCCTGCCCCAAAACTGTTTTAAAGTAATTTAGTTATGATAACTACTGAGATAATGAAAATTAAAACAAAGTTAACAAAATTCCACCTTGCCCACACAAACTCCAAACTCTTGGTAACCTAGAACTCATTTTGGAATATGTTACAAGGTAGTGGTCAAGATTTGTCTTTTTCCATAAGTTAGCCAATAATGTTAGCCACACTGATTAGCAAAACCTTTACCTTTTGAAATAAAGAATATGCATAAATTATTATCTATCAAATGTTATGTTAATATTTAGCAACTTAGCACAATGTTACTATACACTTCAGTTCATTTCTGAATCAGCAAGTCTGTTCTACTGCTGTAGGTTGCATTTTTGTAACATTCCTCTCTTGCATGACAAGATCTGTGTCCATGTCCACTGAATCTAGGAGGGGCAGTCACTGCTCCAACCAAAAGAATACAGCAGAAGTAATTCTATAGGACATCTAAGGGTGGATCTTAAAAGGTTATGCAGCTTCTTTGTTAACGAGCATCCACTGCAGGAAATCAGAGGCTGGAAAAGCCAAAGATCAAGAATATTCATTAAAAAAAAAAAAGAATATTCATATACTCAACAGTCCCAGCTGAACTCTGATCTAGCCACTCCTGTCAGGTATTAAACATGTGCTACTCTTGAATTTATAAATTGCTTTATGCCTTTAAAATTCTTCCCTAATATTATTGGGTGTGGTGGTGCACACTTGTAGTCCCAGAACGCAGGAGAATGAGGCAGGAGGCCAGCCTGAACCACATAGCAATATCCTGTCTCAAAAAGAACAAAACGGGCTGGGGATTTGGCTCAGTGCTTCCAGCGCCTGCCTCAAAAGCACAAGGGCCCAAGTTCAATCCCCGGTACCAAAAACAAAACAAAACAAAATACAAAAGAACAGCCCAGGATTTAGCTCTGTGATTCTGGCCCCTGCTGTGTAAGCGCAAGGTCCTGAGTTCAATCCCTAGTACCAAAAAAAAATAAAAAACCAAACCAAACAAAAATTCTTCCTTAACCTCATCACTAAATTATTTTCACATACTATCTTTCAAAAGTTTTAAAGTTTTTTTTGCCTTATATATTTAATCTTCAAACCATACAAATTAAGAGGGAGATAATTGGAGTTAAGAGCTCAAAGGTCCTTATATCACTGAAGAGGAAGATAAAAACATTAATTAGAGGTTTGGTCTAGCTATGTAGGTTAAATTTCTAGGAAAACCACTAAACAGATACAGCTTCTAGCCAAACTGAACTTGCAGTAACTTTCCGTAAGTTTGAATTATCATACACTTACTGATTTCTAATTATTTTTCAACAGTCTTGTTTTACAATTACTAACTTGCAAGAGTAATTTCAAAATTATATACCATATCAACAACTCATACACACCTCTATGACCCCGTGTATTCTTCACTACCATTGGGAACTCCAGTACTTCCGCTTCATCAATCATTTTAGCAAAATTTTCATGGCCACCTGAACAAAAACAAGAAAAAAAATTTAACAGGTATAACAGAAGTATTTTGTGATCAACTTTATTGATATCAAAGATAGCAGCATAAGGGAGACTGAAGGTAAGAGTTTAATGGCTAATTTTTTCTCTTAAGAGAAAATACAAATATAAATTGCAAGTAAAAGCGAGTAACAATTGAGAACAACCACACCTTTTAAAACAGGTAATAGCTATCTTAAAACTATACACATAACTAGGGGCCGGGGACTTAGCTTAGTGGTTTTGTCGCCTGCCTTGTAAGTGTGAGGTCCTAGGTCTCAAGTTCAATCTCAGGTACCAAAAAAAAAAAAACAAACAAACAAACAAACAAACAAAAAACCCAACTATATAGATTCTATTATCCAACTTAAATATCTTTTAGCTATGCCCTACATAATGAGCCGAGCTGTGGGACCGTGCAGATGAGCACGCGTTTGAACGTGAACCTCTGTTCTTCCCCACATAGGTGTTCAGGTGCTTCATGGAAGTCAGAGAGGTGGCCTACATCTCCTTTGGGCCTCATGCCAGAAGCTGGTTGCGATGGTAGATGTCATCAATCAGAACAGGGTGCTGCACTCGGTAAGGCGCCAAGCCATGCCTTTCAAGCGCATGCAGCTGAGCCATTTTATCCTTAAATTCCCACACAAAGTATGTCAGACAATCCTGGCAGAAGGCTGACACTAACACCAAGTGGGCAGCCACCAGATAGGCTGAGAAGATTGAAGCCAAAGAAAGAAAAGCCAAGATGACAGACTTTGATGTTTTATAAAGTCATGAAGGCAAACAAAATGAGGAACAGGATAATCAAGAATGAAGTTAAGCCAGGCGTAGTGGCGCACGCCTGTAATCCCGGCACGCCTGTAATCCCAGCACTTGGGAGGCTGAGGCAGGAGGATCACTAAATTCGAGACCAGCCTGGGCTACACAGTGAGTCCAGGTCAGTCTGACTACACAGTGAGACCCTGTCTCAAAAAAACAAACAAAAAAACCCAAAAAAGAATGAAGTTAAGTTGCAAAGGGGAGGCATTATAAAGGCTTCTCTCAAAAAGGCGCCTGTTGCGAATGCTACAGCTGCAGCTGCAAACTAAAATTCCAGCAGAAAGCAAGAAGGCCTTGGGCCAGAAGGCTCCTGCCCAAAAAAACAGCCAGTGAAAAGGCCATGCCTCTGCCCAAAGCACAGAAGGTTCAGAAGGTTCCAGCCCAGAAGGCATCTGTTCCAAAGGCATCAGGCAAGAAAGCATGAGGCTGTCAGAAAGGAATAAAAGTTCTTTCTGACACATAAAAGAAAAAAATCTTTTAGCTACACAGAAATTCCTAATTCTACCATTTTTCAAATTTGTATCCCTTATTCCTCCCCCACACAAATCATAAAAGCCCCAAGGTTTACTATAATAGATACACTCTCCCTGGTCAGATTAAGATACAGAACGAGCTAGTTGAAACACTTGCCCAGGATTAAAGACATGCTGCATATACACACCGCCCCCTCGGATCACTCAACACCCATGTAATTTTTATCTTCAATTTTGGTCAAAATTCTTTCTGCACTGAGGTACTTGGCATTCACAAGTTAAGTCTTGCTCCTTGTGGCCCAGCAGCAAATGATACAACAGCAAGATAAGAGCAAAAATGGATTGTAATTGTAAAAATTCAGCATGACAATAGCAAGTTAAACCAGGAGATGGTTCATTAAAAAACTGCAATGTGAGAAACAGAAATTAAGGTGATTTTGCCACCAAACTTGAATTCAACATTAGAGCAAAATTAGCATTTGCTAAATTTGGTTAACTTTTTTCTCCTTCCCAGTCTCATAAAAATTATAATTGTAGAACCATGATAGAAGCTAATATCGAAAAAGCAACAGGAAGACATATTTCTCAAACAATTTTTATTGTCTTTTTCCTCTGCAACTACTGAAATCAGCAATTGCATCCACACTGTTTGGGAGTTTCCTTCTTTAAAATATTAAGGAAAAAGATAAGGACTTGTTTTTAAGCCTAGTTAAATCTCCAAGCAACTCTTCTGGACATTTATTTGGAGAAAAGCCTATGTGGAACACTCTAAACTGATCTTTGCCAAAGTAGAAGAACAGGAAAGATGGGAAATACATTAGCATGACCCTGATCATAGCTGTGTTATTCAAAGAGTGGTCCTACAACCTGTGTTTGTTTGTGGCTTGTTACTGATGTGTGATCAGGTAAACACAGAGTAAGCAATAGGTTTTTATAGCAATTTAGTATTGCTATGATGTTTTTTGTTATATTACATGAGTAATAATCCACAGAATGAACTTTAAAAAGAATTATCCCTTACTTTAGAACAACTGCTTTAAAGCATTACCTGAGAATTTTCTTTCTCTCTCTTTTTTTTTTTTTTTTTTTTTTTTTTTTGGTACCAGGGATTGAACTTGGGTCCTTGTGCTTGCAAGGCAGGCTACCGAACCACTGAGCTAAATCTCTGGCCCTTGGGAATTTTCTTTAAAAATATGAACACGAAGAGTTATGAAAATGGTAATGAAGACAGTAAGAAATTAAAAATATCAAATTGTTATCTTTTACTTCAAGCTTAGGGCTGCAGGCCAGATTTGGCCTACTATCTAGAGAAATATTTTTAGTGGAACAGAGACACAATCATTTGCTAATACACTGTTGTTAGCATCTTTCATACTGCAACAGTACCAGTCAGGATAACAACAAACAATTTATGGTCTGCAAAACCTAAACTATGTATTTACAACCTGGCCTTTACCAAAAAAACTAACCCAAATTTACCCACATCATGGAACTAATTTAAAGACATGACTCATAATTCGTCTGTCCAGTTTAAAACTGAAAGTCATTACTTCCATATAAGAAGCTCTTTCAAATTCACAAAGCTACCTCTTAGGCCCGAGGTGGTGGCTCACGCCTATAATCCCACACTTGGGAGGCTGAGACAGGAGGATCGCCACAAGTTCAAGACCACCCTGAGTTCAAACTATACAGCGAGTTCAAGGCTACCCTGAACTACACAGTAAGAGCCTGACTCAAAAAAGGGGGGCAGGTGGGAGAGCCAGAGATTTAGTTCAGTAGTGCTGTGCCTGCCTGGCAACTGCAAGGTGCTGAGTTTGATCCCTGATATGGAGTAGGGGAAGCAAAAATCTACCTTTCAATTTAATATAGATCTCAAAACTATCAGTGCTTCTAAAATGTAGGCTATATATCCTTATTCATGATCTTACCATAAGAGAAAGTATCTGGCAGAGGAACACCATGGCCAGCTAACTCTTGAAATGTCCAGAATTTATTTACACAATTCAGGATGGCTTGAGGTCTATTCATCAATCGGCAGCCCATTTTCTCCAGATGACGCAAAACAGTGATGTCACTATCACTCTGCACCCAAGGGGTGGGGACTCTCACAACGACCACTTGGGGGTAGGCAGAGATGAGTTCACCATTGATCCGCAGACCTGAAATGTATACAAATAAAATCAAATCCAGTGGAAGGGACTATACAATAATAAAGAGAAAGAGTAATATTTCAAAGCTTGGCTTACAAGATTACTATGTTGTTAATCAGTGGGGATAGAGAGATACTCCTCTGTTAAAATTCCCACATGGTTAACTAAATTACATCACATGCCAATAAAATGAGTTACTACATGGTCATTAAAAAGTAATGAATGTCTATGTTCAGAGATGGAAAATAATCTAGATATATAATGCTGAGTTGTTTCAGGGGCATATATGAGAATAAGTTTTATGTAATTATACATACAAAATGTCTGAAAGGAAAAGAACAAAACTGGCTTCCCCTGATTGTGAGCAGGCAGCAAGACAGGAAAGGAAGGCCAAAAAAAAAGGCTCAGAACTTGATGATATGGCAGTAGAATCATCTAAAATTGAAAGCAAAGGAAAAAAAAAGATTTTTAAAAAAAGAACAGAATATCCAATAATTATGGCTTAACTACAAAAGGAAAGCAGCAATATTTGAAACAATAACTGCAAACTTCCCTCAATTAATGTCAGACGCTAGTTCGAAAATTCAAAAAGCATAGAAGACAAAACAGGATTAATACTATAAAAACTGCATTTAGGTGTATCATATTTAAACCTCAGAAGATAAAATACAAACATTAAGAATGACATGTGGCCAGATGTGGTGGCACACACCTGTAATCCCAGCACTCAGGAGGCTGAGGCAAGACGATTGCTGTGAGTTGGAGACCAGCCTGGGCTACATAGTGAGTTCCAGATCAGTCTCAACTACATAGTGAGACCCTGTCTCAAAAAAACAACAACAACAAGGACATGGTCTCGGAATCAAGCAAGAGAATTAGCAGGCATGGTGGGCGGCACAGGCCTGTAATCCCAGCATTTGGGAGGTTGAGGCAGGAGGACTGCTGTGAGTTTGAGGCCAGCCTGAACTACATAGGGAAACCTTATCTCAAAAACAAAAACAAAACAAAAGAGTAGAATTAAGTACGTTAAAATGTTCATAGGGGAAAAAACATACTAACCCAGAATTTTGTACTCTGTCATTCAAAAGTAAGGAGGCCAGAGCCAGGTGTGATGGCACATAATTGTAACAGAGGCTAAGGCAGAAAGAAGGATCTTAAATTTTAAAAACAGCCTCAGAGTTTTAGGCCAGCCTGAGCTACACAGCAAAACCCTATCTCCAAAGCAAGTAAGCCAGGGAGAGTGGCACATGCCTGTAATCTCTACTACTCAGAAGGCTAGGCAGAAGGATTATAAGTTCAAATCAACATCTCAAAAAAATAAAAGGGCTGGGGAAGTAGCTTAATGGCAGAGCAGCTCTTGCCTAGCATATACAACGCCCTAGTTCCAATCCCCACTATTAGGTTGGGGAAAGAAGTATATATATAATAAGAAACCAATCCCAGAGATCAGATGGAGGAATTCGTAACATTTTGCTGTTACAAAATGCTTGTACCTGTGAAACAGCACAGTAATATTTGGAAGAAAACTAGAAACACTAAAGCAACCAAACACTAAAAATGTAAATATATACCAACATGCTGAGAAAAATAGAAACATATAAAATGCTCAATTAAAACTATAAAAGCCAGGGGCCAGGGATTTAGCTCAGCGGCACTGTACCTGCCTCAAGCACAAGGTCCTAAATTCAATCCTTGGTACAAAAAAAACAAAACAAAACAACCCCAAAAAACAAAAACTATAAAAGGCAGGTGGACATGGTGGAACAGGCCTATAATCCTAGCCCTCAGGAAGCTGAGGCAGGAGAATCTTCAAGATAAAGGCTAGGGGGCCAGGGATTTAGCTCAGTGGTTCTGCCACCTGCCTCCCAAGCACAAGGACCAGAGTTAGATCCCTGGTACCAAAAAAAAACAAAAAACAAAAAACAAAAAACAAAAACAAAAAAAAGAGTTCAAGGCCAGCCTGGGCTACACAGCAAGTTCAAGAACAACTTGAATTGCTTAGTGAGACCCTGTCTCAAAAACTAAAAAAAAAAAAAAAAAAAAAAAAACAGAACAGGAAAATAACAGAAATTAACAAATCTGATATTTTAATCTGACAATAATCACTTTAAACGTCAATGGTTTCCCAAAAGACAGATTTTGTCAGAGTGGTACAAAAAACAAGATCCAGGTACATGCTGTCTATAAGAAATCCATTTAAAAGCCATGAACAGTGGCATCTTCCTATAATCCCAGCACTCTGATAGGAAGGATTCTAAGTTGGAGCTCAACCTAGGCAACTGAGGAATTCAGTACGACCTTATCTCAAACTTTTAAAAAGGGCTAAAGGAGATAGCTCAGTAAAGGCCCTGAGTTCAATCACCAGTAACACACGAGCACGCGCACACGTGCACATAACTATTTCCTAAATACAATTAAGGAAATACCTGTTTTTCATTAGATAGCTAGTAATGATAAATAAGTCTACTAGCTCATTGATCCTAATTATTCGTAGAACTTGCAGATTTAACCACATTCTCAGTAAAATCCCAAAATCACTCAACATAGACTTACCCAGGTTTCCTTGTTCAACTGTCAGCACCACCTCATCCATCACCACAGCCCTAAAGTCCAGCTCCTCCTCGCAACACTTGGCCTTCAAAGCCCTTAAGATCTCTTTTTGTGGGTAATCTTCCCTGATGCGACGATCTGTCAAAAACCACAACTTGGCAGCCCCAGAGCTACACATCTTGATCTGCTTGTTCTTTTTTCTCCGGATTATTTCCTCTTGAATGTAAACTCTACCTAGATGTAAGAGAAAATACACATACAGTGGAAGTCAAGAAATCTACTTGACATCTGGATGCCAAAACAAATTAAGTGCCATGATTATTCACTAACTATACGCGTAAGAAGAAAGTAGGGAAGTACTATGCCTTGTTCCCTTTCACTGAGATTAGAAGCTGTATGCCACTAAAAATATGGGAACTGGCAACCACTCCAGAAATAGAATTTTTTCATCTTCCCACAGGAAAGCTGCATCCTAATAGCTTAATATTCTACCAGGAACACAAACACAAGGCCCTTGTTTCAGCGTAAATGAGAAAAGGACAGGTCATACAACAACCTTGGAAAATCATTGACCTGAAAGTAGAAGTGACCTTTCTGGACTTAGATCCTAGACAGGATCAGAAATAGGAAATTTGTGTTTCTGGATATAAATTCAGGCTTGAGATGAATGTGTGAATGAATATAAAGAAGTAATCAGCAAAAGACTTGCTTATAAAAATTGTAGCATGGCACTTGGTGGAAACTTTCAATGCCATTTTCTATATTAATATTGCACAGGAATATAACCGAATGACCACGCATTTATCACTATTTTATCTGTTCCCTTAAAATGCAGTTCTCATTTCTTGGTATGAAATGGGTGAAATTCCAATCATCAAGATGTCCCATCTCCCTCATCACTGAATACTCTCATTAAGTATATTTTTGTATCTATGGTTAGTTTTGTGTCTCTTCCCTTGATCTAGTTATGTAGAAAATGAGAAAGTAGCACCTACACTGCTAAGTAAGCAAATACTATCATGTATATAGTAAATATATTAATGAGGACTGGGGATTTAGCTCAGCGGTTTGGTGGCCTGCCTTGCAAGTGTAAAGACCCGAGTTCAATCCCTGGTACCAAAAAAAAAAAAAAAAAAAAAAGAATTAAATATATTAATGAAAACATACTGGAGAATGAGCAAAAGGACTTTAAATAACCAAAGGAAGCATACAGAACCATACACTACAGTTATTTTTTGTCAGAGGAGGCCATGCTTACTCATGTTTGTATTATTTCTTCAAATAGAAATTTTGAAAAAGTTTACTAAAAGGTACAATAAGACTTTTTCCTTTTTTCCCTAAAGGGTGCCACACCTGAATCTGTATCAAGAGTAAGACAGCAATTGAAAGTTGTCTTCCTGAGAAGGAAAAGTTTGAGAAGGTAGTTTTTACAAATATTTCCCCCCCATCACAAAATTTCAGGGAAACAGCTGTCCCTCACCCTTGATAATGGGGGTGCTCCAGAACCCCACTCCTGCTCTACACTATCCCACCCCCCAGCCCTGACCATACCAAAATTCATGAATGCTTAAGTTGCTTATATAAAATTATGTAGTATGGGGTGGGGGATTTAACTCAGTGGTTCTGGCACCTGCCTCGCAAGTGCAAACACCAGAGTTTGATCCCTGGCACCAAAAATAAATAAATAAATGAATGAATGAATGAATGGTGTAGTGTTTTCATGACCTGCACATATCATCCTGAACACTGATCCTTTCCATATGTTATTTACCTGAAATATCCAATACAATATAAATGCTATTAAACAGTTTCTATATTGTTCATTTAGGGAATGACAAGAAATTGTATGTACTTATCAAGACACAATTTCTTCCAAGTATTTTCAATACAAGGTTGGTTGAAACCATGGATGCAAAACCTATGAAAACCTAGGGCCAATAATTCAAGCACTATTTTAGATGACATTTGGAAAAATCAGAGGAAAGCAAAGGTCATACAGATCAGTAGCTCCTTAAGCAGCGGCAGCTGGAATGGACTGTTCATGTGCTCTTACCCAGTCTCCAGGTATCAGTCACAAGAATCTGTTCCACAGAGGATGTGGTGAGAACAGGGCCAACAGTCCATACTCCCAGCACCTTGTCCTGCTATGCCTGCCACATGCACCATCTACTCCACTTCTAAGCCACCTACCCTGCAAACCACTTCCTCAAAGGTAGAAGTTACTGGTGTTAAGATATCTGTATTAGATATGTTAACCACTCAACTTGTACACATGCCAACAAGGAAACACTGCTAACAATGCTATGCAACCTTCCCTTTTGGTCAATTTACCCAACACTCAAGGGACTAGAGGGTCACTGCAAATGTAAGGCCAGCCTGGGCATCACAGTGAGTTCAAAGCCAGCCTGTGCTATACAGTGAGACCTTGTCTCAAAAATCTCTTGAAGGGCTGGGGATTTAGCTCAGTGGTGCTGCCGCCTGCCCACAAGCACAAGTTTGATCTGTGGTATCACAAACAAAACAAAACCTCTTGAATATAATCACTAGATCCATAAAAATAAAACAGCCCAGGCTGGCCTCAAACTCATGGTGATTCTGCTGTCTCAGCCTCCTGAACGTTGGGACTATGTGTGGGTGCCACCACCCCTGGACAGTCATTTTTTTTAAAAAAAAAAAGGCTTCAAATCCTCCTGATCATGGGGCTCTGACATAGAAAACAATGCTCCTTTTTTGTATGGGAAAAATGAAGCAAAATTGGAGATTTCATTATTTGCCACAAATGGACTATATCCTTTTGGGGAGATGCCGGTACCTCTGCATCTGGAACTGGAGGGATGCTCCTGTACCACACAAGTTGACTACATCAAAGATTAGATATGGCTGAGGCTCCCTGCATAAATGGCAGGACCTGGGGGTTGTCTTGCACCTGAATTATCTTTGGTCATGAAGAAAAACATTTTCTTTGTAAACTCCAAAGAATTCTTACTTTCTGACTTGCTTTTTGTGTGAAGATTTACAGAGGCACGGTAAATTGTGCTCCACCTCATTCTTTCACAACTAGGTAACACCTGCAATCTACTTTGGCTTCTTAACAATCTTCACTCTGTTAACTTTTTGTTCATTTGTTTTTTGAGACAGCATCTCACTATGCAGTTGAGACTGACCTGGAACTCACTATGTAGCCCAGGCTGGTCTCGAACTCACAGCGATCCACCTGCCTCAGGCTCCAGAGTGTTGGGATTACAGGCGTGCACCACCATGCCTGGCTAGTCTGTTAACTATTGATCCATTGAGATCAGGAGCAATTCTAAATAATTTTGGGGTAAAATCATTTCACAATTAAATTATGATCAAGTTTCATCTTCTTGCCTACAGGGCAGCTATGACCTGCCCAAACATAACTACAGTTTTGCCTCAAGTCACAGCTGAGACCTCCACTGTCCCATGATGCTGTGGTGCTCCAGGGCAGCATTACATCAGCTGAAGACATCCTTGGTCTTGAGAAGCAGAAAGTACAAAATTCTCACCTGAGGGACAAATTCCTTATGGGCTTAACTCATCCCACCTACTGTGGTAAGAACACCTTCCCTCATCCTGCTGTACTAATCAGCATAAGAGTCTCATGGTTTTAGGATTACTGCCACCCTCCAAGACATCTTATACTCTCTATGAATTGGCAAGCTCAGGTGCCTTTGCCTGTGCAGCCCAGAGGAACACTGATCAGGCCCAAAGCTCAACTTCTTGTAGTCTCGTAATCTCGTTTCCAGCTGATATTCATTAATTCACCCTGTGCTGCCCTGGTTCACAAGAGACCAGGACTCACTGCAGGGTTCTGGTAACATCCCCTTTCCCTATTCCCTACACCTTGAAACTAGTGTCTTATGGTGACACCTGGCCAGGTGTTTCACCCACTACTGTCTCACAATTATCTCCAAATACTAGTTTGTCAGGAAATGAAGATAACAAGCTCTCACCTGTCCAATGTTTATGCTCCCATTTCAGAATAAGGACAAGCTGTTAGCCTTCCTTCATGCTCAGGCAGCAGAGCCCCCAAGAGCTGGTACTGCAAGAGCTGCTCATCGTCTAAAACCGCTCCATCAGGTTTTACATGAGGTCCAGAAACATCAGGTGATGGCTTTATGATCCCAAAGGCAATGATTCCAGCTGGCTACTCCCCACACCGGCATCTTCCAGTAAGCTGCCACCTCCACCTCCACAACCACGCCCTATACTTGATAGGGTTTTGCAACATCTACTTTCTATTTTTCAGCATCTCAATGTTCTATATACTAACATTAAGCAAAGTAAAAAGCAAATTTTCTGACAAGACAGAAGTAAATTTACATAGCACAGGAGCCAAAAGTATACCAACTGAATGATAGAATCTACTAATGATCCAGAATCTTAAATAGTTCAAATCATATTCACTATTTCATTACGAATTTGTTATTTTCTTTTCAGATGGTTGCCTTTCCTCACATTGAAAGGAGTAAGCTTGGTGGTGTAAAAGAATGCAGCAAATACCCACGTATAAGTATACCATTTCCTTCTGGAATGAAAATTTACACAACTAATTCCTCTACATCTATTTCCTCCAGAGTAAAAAGGAAACAACACATAAATACTAAATACCAATAAATGCTACAGTAAAGACAAGTAGCTTTTTTGAAACAGAGAAATTCTACCAAGAGATCAATTCATTCTCCTCTGAGTTTTCCCATATAAACATATATATCAAGCCGGGCGTGGTGGTGCACACCTGTAATCCCAGCACTCAGGAGGCTGAGGCAGGAAGATCGCTGTGAGTTCCATCAGCCTGGGCTAGTAATGACTTTCAGGTCAGTCTCAACTACTTAGTGAGACTCTGTCTCAAAAAACAACAACAACAACAACAACAAAAAACAACATATATATCAGCGCACCAATAAAAATGTTATCATCCTGGAATACCCTAGACAAGGATAAGTAAATAGGAATCCTCCCATTTTGGCAGGGCTGAGACAGAATCTTGCCATATGGTCCAGGCCTGCTTTGAATGGCTTCATAGCCCAGTCTGTCTTCCAATTTGTGTTATTACTGCCATAGCACCCCCAGGGCTGGGATTACCAGCATGTTCCACCACACCATGCATTTAAAAAATACTTAGCTCAGCCAGGTGTGGTGGTGCACACCTGTGAACCAGCACTTGGGAGGCTGAAGCAGAAGGATTGGCATGAGTTCAAGACCAGCTTGGA